CATTTAGAAACACTCAAAAGATTACATGACAAATCAGGAACATACAGGACACCATACAATTTACACTTATGGTACTTCTCATGTCCATTTTTCATTGTCAATTGAACAGAGCCTTGAGCAACAGCTCTTAAAGATCGTCCATCACCAAGCTTGACCTCCAGAGGGATCTCCAGTGGATATAGGTGAGTGAAACACGCTTTGTCATTACACGTATGACTTGTTGCTCCAGAGTCAACAATCCACTTATCCTGAGACTTGAGAGTTTGCTGCGCCGGTAAGGCATGTTCCACTACCAATCCTGCTTCATCACTGTCAGTATCACCAGCAGGCTTCTTGGTTGTAGCACTATTAGCTTTATGAAATGTTGCACAAGTACTGTGAGATTTTTTGACACCAGTACTACTTCTGGTCCCACTTTGAGCCTTCTCTCTTTCCTTACAGAAACGTTGGATATGTCCAAACCTTTTGCAGTAATGACATTTAGGACCTCTCCTAGCTTTATGCTTTGCTGTCAGGCCTTCCTCAGTTTCATTCACAGCCTTCCGTTTGGTCTGTTTCCTCTCTTCATGTTGGAGTTTCTCGATTACTGTTTCTAAGTTTGGTACATCACTGTTTGCTTCAAAAGCAGTGACTAGCATGTCAAAAGACTCGGGGAGACTAGCTAAAAGATAAACTACACGGTCTTCATCGCTAATATTGTCTCCAATCACACTCAGCTCACTGACATGGACTTAATATGCTCCTGAACAGATTGCCCTTTCTTCAGTCTGAGTGAATGCAGCTTGCATCTCAATGCTAAACGATTAGCCCAAGTTTTCTTCTGAAAATGATTTGAGAGCAATCTCCAAATTTTCACAGGATCATCAGGTTCACCAACCAAATATAATAATGACGGATCAATCGAGAGAATTATTATGGCCAAGGCTCGATCCTTTTGCGTCTGGAACTTAGCAGCACCGTCTCCATAAGGGGCTTTTTCTGTTCCATTGACTATTCCCCACAAATTCTCTTTCATTAATGTCATTTGACACTGTAGCTTACATGTTGGATAATTTGAACCCCATTCAGAGGAACTATCGTGACAAACTTTGTCTGGGCTCATAACCTGATAGAAATCTTGATAAGTTTAATGATAAACAACTTAAATAAATGATCAAAACAACTGACAACTGAACAATCAGCAACCGAACTAAATGTTACAAAACTCACTTCCTTAAATACGATAGAGAATCTTCTAGAATAGAGTACATACACAGTAGAAAGTTCTAAAGAAGAGAGTTCTAGTAGAAACAAGAGAGAGTTTTAGAATGGACAAGACTATACAGGACATAATTAGATAATACTAAACTAACAATAATAACTAATAATATAAAATACATGTACACATACATATGACAGTAACTCTTAAGTGTACTTTCCTCAACAGTAAGTATATTGGTCATTTCAAGCACTCACTGCTCAAGGCTTTTATATGAATTGGCTCAAACTTTTCACATAGCATAACTACATGCACATCAGGCTATGTACATGTACTTATATATCCACATGTAAATAAATGTTAAAAACAAATATTTATAGTTGATGCTAATAATTACAGTTAACAGTAATTTTCTGAGCATTTTTTATTGATGTTATTATCATTATTGGGCGAAGCCCTTACTTACAAGAACTTGAACGTACGTCTGGGCGTGACTGGGTGGTGCAGTCTGGAGGCGGAGCCCCTCAATGTTTTACATTCTTTCTAGTTATCATTATTATTATTGGGCGAAGCCCTTACTTACAAGAACTTGAACATACGTCTGGGCGTGACTGGGAGGTGCGGTCTGGAGGCGGAGCCCCTCAATGTTTTACATTC